CATTAGAAAGGCAGGCAATGATGGCCGACACCCATATCAGATAGAGCCATCGTTGCAGCGTTCCTGATTTCCTGGCTTCCTCAAACCACACAGCCTCGCATATCATGCTGCAATGTAGCAGCGTGCTGGGGACTGCACAGTCTGATCTGTTCAATGCATCGCACGCTGTCCTAGTTAGTCTTTCAGCTAGCCATTTCATCTTTTCAGATTGTAGTGCATCACTGGAGACTGGTACGAATGGATATTGACATGAGACGTTGATGTAGACTGTGGACGTACAATATGGATGCTGGTGAGCATCGACTACTGATCCTGGGTATCTCCCAATTTCAGTACTATTGGGCAATGGAGCATCCTCAGTGCATGTCACGTTTCCAGGATAATATTCGCCAACACACTGGTTGAACTCTGGTCTCGGGCAGTGTATGGTGAACACCTTCCGAAGAAACTGCAGTGCATATCCCTGAGATGAGTTCTCGAAAAACACATGAGGTTGAATTGTTGCCAGGGCTGTGATGAGCGTATGTGTGTTGCAGCACCGATTACAGCAGAGTTGAATACCAGGAGTTTTCTCCATGATTGTCTCGTTGATGAGAGTTACGTCCTTGTTCACCATTGCAGAGCACACGACTAGAGAAATTTCATTGGGCAAATCCCAAGTAAAATTCGTTGGCCGTAGCACTGCTGAGAGTCCCTGCCGAAAACTATGCAGAGCTGTCTCGGCCATAGCAAGAGATTCCTGCATCTTGGCGAATCGGTATAACATTGACGACCGGTGAAGAAAGCAGAAAAGAATAGACTGGTCCCAACTGGAACTGTTCATTACAGTGTCATTCAATATACTCCTTGTCCATTCGTCAGGCCGAGGCCTTGTGCTCGTGAACACAGTTTCATTTTCCAACACGTCGTAGCTGCCACTTGCGTTAGCTGGAAAGTCAAGAGCCAAAAGGTGTAAGGCAGTAACGTGACGGACTTCAGCGGCATTGCGCACTGCTCTGCGGAGAATTGCCTCAGCCTGTGCATAGCAGTGTCGGACGTTTTGAAAATGATGCACTCGCTCTGTTGAGCTATTCCAATGCCGGCATCGTTCGAGCACATTGGTGCAGCCAACCCTGTTCCATTCTTCCCCAGCCACATGTATGGCTGAAATATTCACGATGAGCGGCTCAAGCAGTTCGAAGGGGATGAGCCTGTGTAAATGTGAATTCTGCTTCAACTGCTCAGCCAATTGTAACGTTTGTGTAGCTGTGGACAATGAGTTCTCCACTGCTTGCACTGTGCCAGTGTATACCCTCACCACTGTACTGGTGGCTGCACACTGCGACCTACCCATCAGCAAATCCATGCACAGCGAAATATCGGCAATGCCTGCATCCGTAAAAACCTGCTGTGCTGTGGTCCAATTGGGCTCTTCGGCATCACGAAATGCCCAGTTGTCAGCAGTTGGAGCAGCGAATTCGGCGGGTCCCCTGACGGATTTACAATTGGAAGACAACGAGGCCAAGGCTCCATGTTGGGACAGAAGGGCCGTGAGCACAAGAAACCTGCTCACACTACAAAAAGGCATGTCAATGCTTGGAAACTAAAGAGCAGCCGTTTAGCTCCCTTCGTGCATTGCTGTACTCTGAAGAAGTGTTCACACGGCATATCCACCGTTCCTTTCCCTACCCATTAACTTTGTGTTGCAAGTGCAGCAGCGTTTCGAAATGCAACGGTCTGCATTCAATGAGTCATTCCACTGGGAACAGATCTCTTCTTCTCGAGACGTTATGCCCTCTATGATCATTATTTGAGAGATATGGACTTTGCTCGATTTCCTTTCCTTATTCCGTATTCTGCAGGCAGGTAGGGACTAGAGACTGCACGCATAAACTGTCGTGGACGATATCAACGGGAAAGAAGACATCATTTCAACTCTTGAGCGTTGAGGTGAACCAGACGTGTCACAGGCCCCCGGAACCGGTCCGGTTGGTCAGGTTATTACAGGACCAGCTTTTAGACCACCAACACACGTGTTTCCTACTGTGGAGGTCACGTGTATCCACTATATCGTAAACAAAGTATAAAAGACCATGATACTACGAGACCCATCAAACTGCCTCCAGCGGTCCTGCATGACTCTACGTGCCTGCGATCCTTTGACATAATAATAATATGTACATGTATAGAATGGTCAGCGGACCACATTGATTGAGAAATCAGCTGGGTGTCGATAACCTTCCAACAACATCCTAGGCGCCCGCATACATATACAGCCATGTACATGTAGGTGCACACACACACACACACACACACATACACACACACACACACACACACACACACACACACACACACACACACACACACACACACACACAGAATGGTCAGCGGACCACATTGATTGAGAAATCAGCTGGGTGTCCATAACCTTCCAGTATAACATCCTAGGCGCCCGCATACATATACAGTCATATACATGTAGGTGCCAAACACACACACACACACACACACACACACACACACACACACACACACACACACACACACACACACACACCACCACCACCACCACCACCGCCACCACCACCACCACCACCACCCCCACCACCACCACCACCACCACCACCAACTGACAGCAGATGTTAAGGATCAATATGCAGGAGGTAATTGTACAACTTAAGCCATATGGTGGTCGCTGCTTTTACGCTTGTGCATCCATGATGATGATGAGGGCTTCTACATGCTATCAAACACCTAGCAGGGCCTCATGTTTAGGTACGTGATCTTTCTGATGATCATACCAAGATTACATAACCCCTATACTCATGAGTCACATAGTACCACGCGTCTGGTTGTAACTAGTAATAGTTTCATGCTAGATGGTAATATTCAGACAACAGATAACAGTGATGCACAGCTAGTATGGTATTTATACAGTGGTAAAGGGGGGAATCCGTGGCGGGTTGAGGTCTGGTGGGTGGGAAAAGTCCTGGAGGGAAAATGTGCCAAAACCGCCCTTAGTCAAGTGAGTGAGAAAAGACATTTCTACGGCAGGAAGGCGGGCAGGGCTGTGTGAAAGATAATGTGACTTGACTGCAGTCACATGCAAGTGCAAGATGGCGTGCACTTTGGTAAACGCTTCAAATAAGTTAGAGGCGGGGAGCTACTTGCCGTTCAATGTACCAACAAACAGGAATAAATTTCTATTTTACCTTTCATGGTATCTCAATTTTTTCACGTCTACATGACTTTATTTTGCCCGTAAAAGAGGCCGTTACCCCGTAAAAAACAAAAAAACAAAAAACAGGTGCAAGGTGCACATGTCCACAGGCTGTGATTACTAAGTACAAGCGCGTTGAATACATGTAGGTGAGAAAAATGAAATGGCGCGATGGCAAGCGATGTTATCCGCAAGATATTACACGCATAATGAAAAGGACTGCAAACGGGTGCGAGTGGCTGTCGCGCGCCATGTGGTGGCAAATCACATGATTCCGTACTTGCCAGGCATGAACTTTGCAGCATGCCTACACCTTAACATAAGCTCCGTTCGCTTGTTGAGGAAGGTGCTGCGATCTGATAAGCTGATGTGCTATTTCTGAGTTTCTCCGTGGTACGAAAATTGCGGCGCTTGGTGAGATTAGTGGGCACGTTCCTTGATGGACCAGCCAATCTCGTAGGTCTAGTTTTGGCGTTTTAGGCGACATACGTACTTCGCCAGCTCGGTATTTGTTTCATTGAGTACTCTAGCAAAACTGACAGCTCACTGTGCTTCTTGTCTGCTTCAGACAGAAGGCTGTTGGTTTGCGCACTGGAGATGTGTTAGACTAGAGCTAGGTGTCAGGTCGCTCAAACAAAATGTCTCACTTGGCGGTCAGTTTTATGCCCTATTATCACACGTTCTGAATCGATATCATCTTGTTACACTCGTGGATAGTTGCTGCTTAACACGTTCTCATGTGTTTTTTCTCTTAAAAAAAGAATTCATTTTGGTAATGAAGATTCGTGGTAATCTGTGACTTGTGTGTGCACGTATCTGATATGAACTTAAACTACACTCCCTCGCATCGGCTTGGCGGAGCACTATTTCTGGTTAGCGTCACAGAAATCTGCCCGTGTGCAAAGCTCGCCGGGTTGATCGCAGTAACACGCAGTTAGAGCAAACAGAAAACTTTCTCTCTCTTTGATCCTTTCTGCCAGTTAAAAAGCTGTGCCGTTCGTTATACTTCATTTCGATCTGGTAGGCCAGTAGCTGCGAGCTGGGTTGACGAGACGTAATATGGTCGAAACAGCTAACAGTCTGGAGATTGAATATTATACATAATTATGCATATTATGCATGTGTACCATGTACATGTACAAACGGTACCGGTAATTGCAAAACACACATGTACTAACCGGTGGGCCCACTTCATTCCTGATGAAGGTTATTTCATAACCGAAACGTTGAATTAAAATATTTTTCTAGTGAAAAGCAGTGATTGAGTGTGAGCCAGTGTTGCTCACAAACCAAACTTTTACATGTACGTAAAAGTGTAATCGTACTGTCTTCAGAGTACATGACATGATTTAACTATAAGTACATGACATTGTGCACATGTACCATGAAGAATGCACATATTACTCAACACGATACTACCGGATGTATAGTTGAGTTATTGAGTCCACGTCGATTGTTCAAGACATAGTGTATGACATTATGCACCATGGCATGCTATTAGAAACCAAACAAACAACCGACCCACCCTGTAACATGGTAGTGGTGATGAGCGAAACCACCCGAAACAAGGAACAAGAGAACTTGTCAAAAAGTTCAAAGCCCTGCCTATCCTTTTTGCCTCCGCCATCATTTGGGTTAATTCAAACCGATAGAAACGTCTTTGCAATGGCTGCATGTTTTTCGTGTTTTAGAGTCGTTACTTTCAGTTTGACTTCCATGCATGAAAACCTTGTTTTACACGGGCGTACGGTGTGAAACTCCTGAGTACCGCACGAGCACAAACCCACAGCTGAGTCAATTCAAAGGTGCCAGACAAAACTTTTGGCCGAAACGGCTCTAGACGGTGCAATACAGTTCATATGAAGAATTGAATGAATAACAACAACGCGTATGGTATCATGATATAGGGATCATCCAAAGCCCAAAACAGGAGCAAACAAAAATAATTGAGTTTTATCAACAACATTAGCACAGCAGCGGAAACAGAGTCACGCTAAAAAGGCTAGCAGCAACATCAGCAGCAGAGACGATCACCTGTATTTACACAGCTTTACATTCAGTACGAAGAAATGTTTCACTCCTAGGTGACTTGGCAATGAAAAAGAGAGTGGGTCGCACACACATCCACACAACATTAGTTTTTTTAATTTTTTCACCGGTGTGAGGGAACGATACAACGGGGAAGAGAGAGATTGGGCGTAAAGTTGCCAAGTCTTCAGACTTGGGGCTATGCAGCAGCAGTTCCAGCGCGAATGATATAGAATAGAGCTGGGGACTTTTAAATGCCAAATCCACACATGCCCACACCATTACACCCACATACACCCACACTCTCTCTCCCTTTTCTCACATACACATACACATACACTAAATATACACTACATTGGCAATAGCATGCCAGTCCAGACCAGTGCACAACGCAGCATATGTTGTCCTTTTGGGACTAGACGATGTTTTGGATACTGAGCCGAAGTTATCCACGAGGAATGTCCGCTTGACCAATCATGCCAGTACCCTGCTCTGGTTCTGGAACCACATCTGGAGCCAGATGCTGATGGTACTGGTGCTGCTGGCCTTGTGGCTGCTGCTGCAAATGATGTTCCTCCTGCGGCTGCCGTACGTTTACCGTGGATGAGACACCCATGGAATAATTATGATGCTGTGTCGCGGCGGCGGCGGCGGTGCCCATCGATGCAGCACACCCATTAAAAGGTCTAGCGGAGGCTGCACTACTAGCCGGCGGAGTTGCTGTGGCAGAGAACTGGCTGGCTGTACTCAGTGCGGGCAGTGATGCCAAGCTCACCATGTTTGTAGCCAAAGGCGTACCACCGAGACCTGGTGAGTGTCCGTGCTGCACTCCTAATGCTTCGCTTGACTCTAGCAATTTGTGAACTTTTTTCATATGGCGAAGCCTTTGGTCAGACCGGGCAAACTCCCTAGGGCAATGCGGACAATGATAAGGCTTCTCCCCGGTATGTGTGCGGAAGTGTGTCGTGAGGTGGTCCTTCCTTGAAAACCATGTATTGCAAGTTTCGCATTGAAACCGCTTTTCGCCTGTATGCGTACGTGTGTGGCGGTTCAGCTCGTCTTTGCGTGGGAAGCGGCGACTGCAGCCTTCATGACCACACGCAAAGGGCCGCTTCTTCATTAGTGGTGACGTAGGAAGCAGTGATGACGTCACGACGTTAACACCTCCATTCATCCCTTGCTCGTGATTGTGGGGAGTTTGTATATGGTCAGGACCTAGCAGTGATGGTGGCCCGGTGGAATCGGAACCATGTGCATTCACATTTCCCGGTATTCCTTCATGACCACACGCAAAGGGCCGCTCCTTCATTGGTAGTGACGTAGCATGCAGTGATGACGTCACGACGTTAACACCTCCATTCATCCCTTGCTCGTGATTGCGGGGAGTTTGCATATGGTCAGGTCCTGGCAGTGATGGTGGCCCGGTGGAATCGGAACCATGTGCATTCACATTCGCTGGAATACCAGGAAACGGATGGTCTGAGACGGTACCTTGCTCCTGCTGTTGTTTATCCGCAGTGGCAGACTCAGCATGAGCACTGCCGGAAGAAGTCATGTTGGAAGCTGTTGAGATTACTGGCACTTGATCAACTGCTGGGCCAGTCATTTCACTTCCCGGACTTTCGGCTTGTAGCCATTCGTCTAGCAAAGCCATCACTGGCATCAGCTCTTCATCCCCTGCAGCCAAGCCCAGGTCTCCATGCCCCGCTAGTGTACCCCAGGCGTTTGGAGCGTGGGCTAGTAATGCCTCCATCTCCTGCATAATATTACTGTCAGGCGGGAATGAAATAGGCACGGCAGTACAACCCAGCGAAATGTTCAAGTCCTGCATATTATCGTAACCAGTCGGCGCATCGGAGATTTCCACATTGTTGCTTGCCTCTTCTATCGGGCCCTGAGCTTCATAGCCTTGTATGGATGGTTTGGACAATCGCATCTTTTGTTGATGAGTTGTACTAGCCTGTAAGGAACCATGAAAAAATACAATCATAATAATTAAAAAACCAGTTAGTATAATAATATTACGAAGTAGTGGTTGCGACTTCAGCGATGATTTGTAAGAAAGGGTTTGCTCCCCTCACCGGAGCTCGCGCTATTCTGCCACCGTCCAGGAGCGACACTGACTCACGCTGCTATCTGGTGTTCACGAGGTGTTTGTCGCGCTGGAAACGGAGCGTCTCTGTAAGTTTGTATCCCTGGTGATGGTTGTGCCTGGACAGCACTATAAGTGGTGCTCTTCAGGCACAATCCTCCTCAGCCTACTCAAGCTCAACTGATGAGGGGTGAATTCCCCGAAACACTGTGTGTTGAGCAGGGAGTGGTGCTTTCTTGCAGGTTTGCCGAGTCGAAGGTTCGATGGACTTCTCGTGTGCTCTGGAAGGCAGTCGTGAGTCAGTCAAGTGTCAAGTAAAGTCGGCGGAATAGCGCGAGCTCCGGTGTGGGGAGCAAACCCTTTCTTATAATAATAATATTATTATTATTATGTTTTTTAATGTAAACTAGAAGGAGAAAACAGAAGAAAACTGTTATTATTTATAGGCAACTATTTTGTTGCCCAGGCGGCGGTTTTTGTAAATGAGGTGAACATTGAACTTATACTTGCGGAGTAAATGCTTGGATCAAAGGAGGTGGTGTGTAAATTAACTGCATTCTACTCTATTCTATCCCTCTAACCTAGGGCCCTAGGCTCTATAGACTAGTAATGGACGTGCGCTGCCTGTCTTCAACTTGGAAGTACACATCATGCTACCTACCACTGCGGCTTTGCCTTTTGATCTTTGGTCTCAATGTCATACAGCGAGGCACAGGTGTTGGGCTGGGTTCAGCACTTTTCCCCCTTGTTCCTCTCTAGCGGCTAGGCATCAGCGGGTAATGCTAGCATTAAAACTAGCATAACTATGTCGTGTACAGATTTGACCTTTGGCTACGAGTTGGTTGGTTGGTTGGATTTATTTAAAGTCGTACAACAAACAGGCATATCTGCCTCCTTATATGAAGACGACTTCTGGCAGTAGCCATTGGCGGACTATGCTCGGCCAATCGTCAAATTATGCTTTTGATTATGCCACAATTATGCCAAGAAATATGCTGAATTATGCTCGGTTCCTCTATGTATTCACGCTGTACATAGAGGATTGAGAAACCACGCATACACACACGGCCATGCCCTTAGCATAATTTTTGTCAAAACCGAATGATTATCCACCATGGTTGGTTAACACCCACATCTCCCGTACTGGCTGATTTTCTTCTCATGCCATGAGGTGTTGTCTATAATAATAATAATAATAATAATAATAATAATAATAATAATGTGGTGACAGTCAATTTTTTCATCAGACTTTTCCCGTTTGTCTCTTTCCCTCAAACCAGTTAATAATAATAATAATAATAATAATTATGCCGACCTTACACGTTGGAATCCGAATATTATGCTGGAGCATCATTTTTTGACCAAATCCCAAGATTAAGCCAAATATTATGCCGGCATAATCCGCCAAGGGCTATGATCCGCCAATGGCTATGACAAGGAGTCGTAACTGGAGTATTAAAAAAAAAATATCTGCAGGCTTTCTGACAAAGCTGTATTGTGCCCCTAAGCATAATTTTTGTCTAAACCGAAAGATTATGCCGACCTTACACGTTGGAATCCGTATATTATGCCGGAGCATAATATTTTGACGAAATCCCAAGATTATGCCAAATATTATGCCGGCATAATCCGCCAAGGGCTATCTGGCAGTAAAATATGAAAAAGAAAAAGAGAAAAAAAGAAAAGAAAAGATTATCAAGAATGTATAGACTGAGCATACAGCTAGCCGGAGAGTGACTGGACACGGTCAAATATTCCCCTGGAAATTGCTGCACGCGATGGTGGACGCTGCCACGAGGTGTCAATGTGGAACTTCCACCGGCAATTCGCCCACGCTTAGCGACGGACTCTTTCCCACTTCTCTGGAAAGATCGTTTTCGGGAAATCGCTACTCTGGCTGGTTCGGGAAGACGTTCACAGGCTGTGCTGACCTCGTCCTCTTCGGACCCTGATTCTGAGGCGTCTTCATCGTCAAACTCGGAATCAAAGTGATCATCGCTACTGCTTACTAGATCAACAATGTCTCTGGCTGCTTGGTCGGACATAGCCATGACGTGTGTTCTTCATCAGCAAAGGGTGGTGGAAACAAAACGCTCCCATTCTCACCGCCTTCTCATGTACACCCATCACAAGTTTTTTTCCCAACGCTTGTGCCCAGACTCCCAGCCAGAGTCATAGATCTACTACAAGTGCAAGTAGTAGAGGGAAGATTTGAAGTGAACCAGTGTTTTCGGATGCGAGCACACTTGAAAATCCCATGTTTTGCAAGAATATGCTAGTTTTCGCAAGAATATGCTATTTTTCTGCAAAACCTGCTGATTATGCTAGTGCAATGCTAGTTTCCAGAAAGTGCTAAATATGCTAGATATAATGCTAGCATTATCCGCTGGGGCCTACTCGCAAACCGTGGCACTATGCCGGAATTTTGAGTTTTTCCGGCCTGGAAAGCCTGTCAGTGAAGCGCAAGAACTTTTAAATCATGTCCAGAGGGCCAGCATAGTGGCAGGAGGGTGTGGTGCAAATTTCACTCAAATCCATTGAGAGACACCAAAGTTATGGTCAATTGAATGCCGTATGAAATTTAAGACCACGCTGCTACCCTTAAGTAGCTACCCAGGCCAACAGAACAAAAGGAAACAAAAAAGGTGAGTAGGAGAGTGCATGCAGGCCAGCTTGGATAAGGTTGTACAGTCGTCGCCAAAAAAATCCGGCCAATGCCAAGTATACGCGTACATAGGTATGGTAGGTAGATCTACGCGGTACTTCATCGCGGGTTCATGCACTGGGGAGTGGAGTGGCACATGCACTAGACTCTAGTCTAGGCCATTGTACTGCCACTGCCACTGGCACTGGACAGCACTGAACAGTCTGCGCCGCACTCTGCCTGCTGCAGTCGGGTTGAGCACTGCGCCGAGCCTGAGTCTGACTCTGAGTGAGTGTAGAAGTTGACGGTTTCAAATAGGACCTACCGGTAGGTTACCGGACCGGACTCAATATTCACTTTCTCTCTTGGTATTTTGATTAGAAAACATATGTCACAGTGAGACTACGATGTGTTATAACTTATACTCCGAGCCAAAATTTCATGGCTCTGCGATGACCAGAAGCGCCACACCAAGCAGGTGAGTTTTTGACGTGTTGCTCCGCACTGCGACTTGAGTTTTACGACTTTCGAAAAATCAACTTCTTGTCGCAGGTAAACAGCGGCTCGCCTCTCGCCAATAAAGCACCGCATACCAATCAAAACTAATGGAGAAGCACACACAAGGCTGATTGTTACTCTGTACTGGCCGTCGTGGAGCGATAGCATTTACCTAATTTCAGACTAATAGAGTGAATTTGACGTGCACTCTAAAACCTTGGCGATTTGGAGCCACCTCTGATTTGAAGCGAAAAATTGGGCAACTTGGAGGCAATGGGTCAACACAAAGGAGTGGCTCAGTTCGATTGACTCTGGCCTCAGAGCAAACTTCAACATGCCAGTTTCCTTCCACAAACATATTTCGAGTGAACAATCAACGCTGATGATAGGTTTGCATGGTTTGGGCCTAGACAAATTTGGCTGACCTGTCAAGCCGTTGTCGCCTCTACATGGTGTATGCGGGCCTAGCCTGTCAGCATGTGAACAGTGAAGTAACTGCAGACCCGGTCTACCACGGTCTACCAGTACCACTACCACTAAGTATGAAGTATGATACAGTGCATGCAGCCCAGTACAGCTACCGGTAGCTAGCATTGCATTTGGCCGGATTTTTTTGGCGACGACTGTAGAAGGTACGGGAGGAGATGCCTAACACTAGAAACAGTACTGTGCCCCACTATCGCACATTCTGACTGTTCATCATCTTGTTACAGTCGTGAAGAGATGCTGCATAACTCGTCCTCGTGTATTTTATTCTCTCTTTTTTTACATTTATTCCTGACTCCGTATCCGAGTTTTTCAAGGATTACCGTTACCCAGAGGCTCTACGCCTGTCGAAGGGATTTCCTACTTGAGATATTTCATGATTCGGGAAAGACCACAAGAGTACAAAGAAAGAAAAGAAAAGAAGAGGACACAGCAATTGCGCAAGTCAAGGTGTTGTCATGCCATCCGTGTAGTGAGTGTGTCGTCATGCCATCCGTGTAGTGAGTGTGTCATCGAAAATGCTGGAAGAGTGATTTAATTCCTAGTATAATATTTATTAGTTCCGTAGCTACATGTATGCATAAGTCTTTACGAATAGTACTGTAGTAGCGTTTGGCTCTGGCCAGTGTCCACAGCGCATTATTGCCTACCTATGCGTGCCTATACGTTGATATGCGCGACCATGCGTGTTGCAAGCATGTTCGCATGTCACGTTTCAGGGCCGAAACTCGAGTACTCCAAAGTGCCAGCAGGCGTGGTCTAGCTACTGTACTAAGTGACGGAGTTGTCGGCAGTATGACGTCATGTACATGTACAACAATGTAGTGGGTAGCCATGGCAACTAACTCGTTTGTTGTTGATGACGTTGTCACGTAAACTACAGTGCTGGCAACTGAAATCCGACCCCCTAGCGCCTCGTACGAATCGCTAACGGGCGTAGCGCACCGCTAGAGGGTCGGATTTCAGTTGCCAGCACTGTAGTACGATTACAGTTAAACCTGTAACTAAAGACCACGTGACTAGCGACCAGCCTGGTACTACCGACCACTTGGCCAGGCACGGACGGTCTCACATTCAAAATGCACTGTGACTAGCGACTACCTGCTGAACGCGACCAGCGACCGCCTTTTCTTGTCCCAAAGACGATTTTTGACCCGTGACTAGCGACCGCGATGTAGGAAATAAAATGTTGCTCGAAGCTCCTTCTTCAAATTTTGCTGATTTTCCATGGTCCTGAAAGGAATCTTTCGGTATACAGCTGAAAAAATGAACGCAGGCCATTTTGACTGTGGAGTCGGTGTGGACTGCACTACACCTGTGAGAATTCCAAGCGCTGTCAAGAATAAACATGATAGGAAACGTCTTGGAGAACGCATCGAAAGCGCTCTCAGCTCGATGTTACTACTCGGAGGAGAAGCGAAGACTGAGCGGCTTTGTCACCCCAGTCATACAAATGAATCGACGATGGCGTCAAGGAATCCAGAAACAAAGCAGCACCGCAAGGTCCTGATGCTGAAGGATTGCGTTCGAACAATCGAGAAGTCAAAACAAGGATAGTCGGTACGATTGATCGGATGAACAAATTTGAAGCCCAGCGCAAACCGAAACTTCTACAGGGAACGTTTGACTCCTGGCTTCAGAAGCAGCAGCTGAATTTGACGTCTGCAAATTTTTTATATTCTCTCTCTCTCTCTTTTGCCTCTCTCCATCTCTCCGTCTTTCTCTCCAAGTGTTGATTGACCTGAAATAAGAACGGCATTGCGCAAGTCCTGGGGAATTGTACTAGCTGCATTTTGATTTGCATATCATATACTGGGATCCCTATATGGTCGCACGGTGCAAACCTCTAACTAAAGACCACCTACTACTAAAGACCGCTTTTGCCGGCACCAAGAGGTGGTCGGTAGTCACAGGTTTTACTGGATTACTATAGCCGAACCGATATGTATAGAAAAGGGTGGTTTACGAAAAGGAATTTGAGAATACGATCAATATAAGGGGTATAATATTACTATAGCCGACAACCCTATAGCCGATCCGCACTGTACTGGGCAAAAAAACTTGAATTTCATCTACAAACCTGAACAACTACAAGTGCCTCAATTTGATCACGCAGTTTTTTTATTGGTTACGTACATATCACTTGAAAACACCGCCATTCCGGCAACAGGCTCTCAGCTGCACCAAATAAATAACTTTGCCAATATTTCGCCCATTGGGCATCATCAGGGCATTGCAGCTGAGAGCCTGTTGCCGGAATGGCGGTGTGTTTCAAGTGCAAGAAATACGCTGCAATGGAGTTTGGGAATTCTGAAGAAACGTTACGTACATACCCTCCAAAAATTAAAGAAAACAAGCTGGAGTAACGTCTTACCTCCGGTGTCAACTGGTATCAAGTGGAGTTTATCCTAGGGTAAACGCGCAGATGTCCAACTGCCGATTTCCAACTGCCGAAGATAATTTTCTCTTCACAAAGAACAACATTGTACCTCAAAGAAATTTCTTCACCTTTTCAACTGAACTACTTGGTAGGAATGAGCACAGAAAATTCTACACAGCTACTATTTACATTGAGCAATGTCTGGCCTCGAGAGTGAGGAACTACGTGACATGCGATGGAGGTAGTAACAATGTGTGGGAATATAGTGGCAGCGGATTAAAAAAACAGCCAACCATTAGATTACGAGAATAGCCTAAGTGGGTATCTACATGTACATGTAGTTAACCGTGGGTTGTGGGGGTGGGGGGGGGGGGGGGCGGCGAGGTCATCGAGAGTGGGAAGATTGACAAAACAATTATTTGTGGAGGATTGTCGCGTGAGACGTCAGCGACCAATCGAAGTAAGTGTTCGTGTTTAGCAGTCAAGAAAATAATGTCAACAGTAGTTCAATAATACAAGTACATGTATACAGTTATGATCTGCAGCGTATGGCGTCTCGTAAACTGTACGCATGGGTCGTGCAGGTAACCGAGGTATGTTTTACAATACAGTAGACTGTATAGGAATGGGTTTGCTACCACACTGGAGCTCTCGTTATTCCGCCGACGACTTGACACTTGACTGACTCACGACTGCCATCCAGAGCACATGAGGAGCACGTCGCACATTCCCCTCGGCAAACCTGCAAGAAAGCACCACTCCCTGCTCAATACACAGTGTTTCGGGGAATTCACCCCTCATCAGTTGAGCTTGAGTAGGCTGAGGAAGATTTTGCCTGAAGAGCAACCCATTCCTAAACAAAATCATCGCCGAAGTCGCAACCTCTATTTAGTACACTGTATGTGTGAACTATAAGTTATAGTTATAGTGAACCCTCACACCACAGAAGAGATGCGCCAGTGGGGTGTCGCGAGCTCATATTATTGAACGTGAGCACGACATGATTATTGTGATCATGATGTCATATTACCGTATAACATAGTTCGTGTGAAATGATCAGACTGGGCCGTCTAAGGCCGCCCATCTGAAACATACTTAGTATGATAGGAACAAAATTAATAACGCCATCTATCGGCTATGAAAGAGCGTTTGAAAGACGGGCCATGGGGTCATGTAAAAGTGATAAAGGCTGGGTGTACCAGTACATTGCTATGGCAACTGCCTGATCTCGCTTTCATTTCGCTCTGCAAAGAGCACTTAGGCCAGTTAGGGTTCCCTGTAAAAAGACGGCAACGTCTGTAGGGATTTCCCTAACAAAATAATAAATTCTACTACTACTACTACTAAATCCATGAATTCTCCCGCCTTCTGTGTTCACAGTCCCATACTCCCCTTGGAGTAGTCTGCACGGCGCTGCTGCTGCTGCTGGTGTTGTTGTTGTTGTTTTGAATTCTTTATTCTCACGATGGCACCATCGCCAATAAGAGTTGTTGTTGTTGTTGTTGTTGTTGTTGTTGTTGTTGTTGTTGTTGTTGTTGTTGTTGTTGTTGTTGTTGTTGTTGTTGTTGTTGTTGTTGTTGTTGCTGTTGTTGTTGTTGTTTTTGTTGTTGTTGTTGTTGTTGTTGTTGTTGTTGTTGTTGTTGTTGTTGTTGTTGTTGTTGTTGTTGTTGTTGTTGTTGTTGTTGTTGTTGTTGTTGTTGTTGTTGTTGTTCTTGTTGTTGTTGCTGCTGCTGCTGCTACAGCAGCTACTGCTGTGGCTGTAGTTACAGCCCCTCTCGTTGTCAGGAAATGTTTGCTTGTGCTACTTCTCATCCAGTTGACTTCTTATTATGACTTTGTATGTTATAATTTTCTTGAGCTCCGGTTTTCCCCTTCATTATAACTCAAGCGCAGTTTAGGGCGTATTGGCTTGTGATTTCCTTTCTTCTGTTTGCTTGGCATTTTATCGCTCCACAGGTACCCTCGGTCTCAGGTGCTCTCACATTTGTGCAATTGTTGATTTTGCTCCTGAATTGTCCTCCCTGTTGCTTTGCTACCGTCCTCCTCCTGCCTCCACCTTTTTTTCTTTATTGGCCTCATTATGGCATTCTCTTCCATGTAATTGGGCTTGTAGCCCGTGTGTACTTGCGAATTCAAATAAATATATACATACATACATACATACATACAAATTGTGTTTTTATTGAACGCAAAAAGCAATGAAGATGTGAATGCAAGGAGGGCAGTGAATTCAAAAGGTGAACAGCAAAATTGTAACAAACTTGAAAGATAACAAATATTAATGGCAACAGCAATGTTTATACATGAAAAAAGGGGAAGGAAAGAAAAGAAAAACATCCAAACCAAAACTGCTTGAACACCGCCAGAAATGAAACCATAGAATTGAGATTCACACAAAAGAAAAACTTCAGGACACCGGAAAAAAACTTTAGATCACATTTTCACCATTATACGAGATGATGACAAAGAAAAACTATGCCCTAGAGAGCATTACTACTACTATCACTAAGTACTCGGTAGAACCCACAATTATACCATTATAACCCACAACTATAATATTAACTGTGGTCTGGGGTCGCCCATGGATTTGCACCATGCGGATTTCGTGCCCATCGGCTGAGCCCAAGCCTCCAAGAAAAGGGGGCGTGCGGTGCTTGCGACCCGTGGCTCAGTAGCGCCATGGCATGCCTGCAGGCCTGCGAACGCACGTGCGGTAAGCTCCACTAGACCACCGCCCGCGCCCGGCTGCCATCAAGGCATACTCCGGGGCACCTTGATTCGCCATGTGCGTTGCGCTACCTGCACGGAGGGAGTGGCTACTGTAGCTGGGGCCCAGAACCCTGCGCAACACTACGTTGATGTCATTGCCATTGGGCGCGCGCGAGCCATCGTCCATTGCAGAACTAATAAAGTATTAGTTCGGCAATGGACGGTTGTTCGTCACTACCCCATGCGCTTGATCTGACGTATGCCTCAAGGGCCAGGACGGGGCATATTTTGCGGGTCTGCATGGTGATGCAGCACAATCTCGCCATCACTTGTCAGCTGCGATGTCTTCCAGCGTTGAAGCCCTAAGCTGGCTGTGACCTGAGAGAGCGCGAGCTGAGCCTGAGAGTTTGACCCGACCCTGCTAGTGCTGGCGACGGGGACGTGTACTCGCTGACTCGCAGATTGCTGTCGTCAGCGCGGCCCATACTGGGCCATAGCATGAGCGGTAGCCCATTGCCGGCTATGTCGAACGCTGCAGGAAAAGATGTAGTGCCTTGAGTCGTACGGCTGCGATAGTCTGTCTCCGAGGCTGGGCAGTTGCGTGCCAGGAGAGCGATGCGCGTTCTTTCTCCAGGCCTGTTATTTCACCAGCGCGATGAGCCAGCTGGATGCAAGGACTTCGACAGGTCCTTCCCTGCAGAGGAGGAGCTTACCTCCGAGCTTACCTCCTCCTCTCCAGGGGAGCCACGCAACGCACATAATCCCCGGGCTGGCATGCATTCCGCAAGTTCCTGCAACAAATTCACCGCGACACGCTGTCAGTATACCTGGTCGCAGTCAGATACAACCAGGTTGTATCTGACTGCGACCAGGTATACTAGTACTTTCAAAGACAAAGTGCCGGCACTGACTGGAAGCGGCAAATAGCAGGATATTATCGTGACGCAGTGAGAGCGTGTCGCTGTGAATTAATTATTTGTTGCAGGAACTTGCGGAATGCGTGCCAGCCCCGGGCATAAGGCGTTGCGTGGCTGCTTATCTAATACTAGTATTGTACTAGCATTGAACTTAGAAGTTGCGACTTCGCCGGTAATTGTCATGAAGTTGATTGTTCCAACTAGGAACACACGCTTCTTACCGAACTTGACACTTGACTGACTCACGACTGCCATCCAGAGCACACGACGAGGAGCACGTCGCACCTTCCACTCGGCAAACCTGCAAGAAAGCACCACTCCCTGCTCAATACACAGTGTTTCGGCGAATTCATCCCTCATCAGTTGAGCTTGAGTAGGCTGAGGAAGATTGTGCCTGAAAAGCACCACTTATATACTGCTCTCCAGGCCAAACCATCACCAGGGATACAAACTATTACTTACAGAGACACTTTGTTTCCAGCGCGACAAACACCTCGTAAAGCTCCAGGTAGCAGCGTGAGTCAGAGTCGCTCATGGAGTTGTAAAAAACAGACGTTGAGAGCCAGTATAGCTATTCGCAACGCTTTCACCTCCAACAACTAGTCGCAACTAGTCGCACGTCCGCGTGAGGGACAACAATACGAACTTAGAAGTTGCGACTTCGGCGGTAATAGTCATGAAGGTGATTTTTCCAACTAGGACCACACGCTTCTTGCCGAACTTGACACTTGACTGACTCACGACTGCCATCCAGAGACCAGAGCACACGAGGAGCACGTCGCACCTTCCAATCGGCAAACCTGCAAAAAAGCACCACTCCCTGCTCAATACACATTGTTCCGCGGAATTCACCCCTCATCACCACTTACATGTATATACTGCTCTCCAGGCCAAACCATCACCAGGGATACAAACTTACAGAGTTTACAACTCCATGTCATGAGCGACTCTGACTCACGCTGCTACCTGGAGCTTCACGAGGTGTTTGTCGCGCTGGAAACAAAGTGTCTCTGTAAGTAGTTTGTATCCCTGGTGATGGTTTGGCCTGGAGAGCAGTATATAAGTGGTGCTTTTCAGGCACAATCTTCCTCAGCCTACTCAAGCTCAATTGATGAGGGAATTCCCCGAAACACTGTGTATTGAGCAGGGAGTGGTGCATGCTTTCTTGCAGGTTTGCCGAGTGGAAGGTGCGACGTGCTCCTCGTGTGCTCTGGACGGCAGTCGTGAGTCAGTCAAGTGTCAAGTGTAGTGTTAGTTCGGCAAGAAGCGTGTGTTCCTGGTTGGAACAATCAACTTCATGACTAGTACATGTATTGGGTTATACTAATCATGTACATGTGCATGGTTAAAGTTCACGATAACTCTACTTGGCACTCGGCCTGAAACTTATTTTTTGTATGTATTCGAGATATTGTGAGCATTTCAGTTGCATACACAACGATCGTCTTGTGACGTCACCCTAGTTAGAATCGTAGCGTTTGGCTCCCCCTTAAACTGAGCCTACTTCAATTGACGAAACGATACCAAACCGATGGTATGTTGAGCGCTGGGCACGAGTTCTGTTGGATTCAGCCTAAACGGTCATATGCTGACCAGGTCACTGTAGATTACTATAATTATTGTGAAAAGAAGAAGGACAAAATGTTACGAGTTATGACTAACTGTCCACCAACGTAACCAGATCTTACACAGTCAGCGAGTGCGACAAAATGGCACAAAACTGACAAGGAGTACTGAGACATTTGGCGACCTGACACCTAGCTCCAACATTTCTCCAAGGCGCAAACAAACTAGGAGCTAGGTGTCAGGTCACCGAATGTCTCAGTACTCCTTGTCAGTTTTGTGCCATTTTGTCGCACTCGCTGACTGTATAAGATCTGGTTACGTTGGTGGACAGTGTTAATCATAACTCTTTGCATTTTGTCCTTCTTCTTTTCACAATTATTTAATTGGCTCACCATCCGAGTTACATTATTATTGATGAGCCGTCACGAACCATACGGCGAAACGTACGTCGGGTGAAACAACTTGTTTTGTAGTCAACTAGTCCATCACAATGTCATGCATGAGGAGTACTGTAGGAGTTTGACTTTCGCCTTGAACAATTCGTTTTCGCAAAGCTTCCCATTTCCTTACTTATCTTCGATATTTATGACCCACCCAAGCTGGGTGGTGTGCTGCTTTGCTGCTTCGAATTGTAGTTAGACCGCTTTGTCAAATATCGTACTGGTCTCGTCATCGTCCAGTAACTATCGACATTCTTTGTCCAGTTGGGACTGTAGCTTCTGCTCGTTTCCGTTGCGCTTGCCTTCCCCCTTTGGTCTTTCCATAACCTTAAACCTTCCAAGTTGGAAGGCTGTCGGTTAGCGCTATGGAGATGTGTTGAAGCTAGGTGTCAGGACGTCGAATGTCTCAGTACTCAGTTTTGTGCCTAGTTATTGCACTTTCTGACTGTATAATTATAGTATCATGTTACAGTGATGGAGAGTTACTCTTAACTCGTATTAATATTATTATTTTGAAAGGCTTGGGAGAACTTCAAATTCAAAGAATCAGATGGGGAAGTGAACTGCCTGAAAAGAGAAAAAAAATCGCCAGACCCTCCAACACTCGAACCTGGAGTTAAAAACTTGTCAGCGCCTTCTAGGTTCAACCCAGTCCCATAGCTCAGTGGTTAGAGCATTGCTCATGACAAGCAAGGTCCGGGGTTCGAGTCCTGGTGGGTCTGGCGATTTTTCTCTTTTCAGGCAGTTCACTTCTCCAACTGATCCTTTGAATTTGAAGTTCTCCCAATCCTTTCAAAATTTAATCACTTTCTTTCACTTTTGGTAGGGTCCAGAAACTGACCGTGGTTGGTCCCCTGGGGTAGGGAAAAAGACCCAAGTGCCATCAGTATGTGTGGCACGTGTTGTGAGCTGCCTTTGGAGTGAAAACTTGTCAGCGCCTTCTAGATTCAGCCCGGTTTCATAGCTCAGTGGTTAGAGGATTGCTCATGACAAGCAAGGTCACAGGTTCGAGTCCTGGTGGGTCTGGCGATATTTTTCTCTTTTCAAGCAGTTCACTTCCCCAACTGATCCTTTGAATTTGAAGTTCTCCCAA